GGGGGGCGTTAATTCCCAAGTGCATGAGTCAACTGCAAAAAGATTTGCCGCGCTACTAAACACGTGCATGTCACGTGAGAAAGTAGCTAAGCTTGTAAGCGCTGGGCCAGTGTTTCGGGTTGGCCAGTCTGTGATACATGATGGGCCATGGCAAACCTAATGGGCCAAAAATCACGGCTCATACCACTAACTGTTGGCCTATCGACACGTGCCGCATAACGGCCTGCCCGTTGTCCACGGGACATTTTGCCGAGCTTTAAACTTAGGGCTTCAATCTTAAAATATAAAAAGAAATAGTGAAAATTGAAAGTGAGTTTCCTATATGTACTTGTTTGGAGATAAATCTTGCAAGAAAAATTTTAAGGGGTTAAGTCCATGTTTAAAATTATATGTAATAACTTAAGTCTATTTTTTTTTTATGTCAAAAATACCCTTTCTTAAAAAGAAGTTAACATTTTCTCTCTCATATATATCTATATCCATATATAGATTAAAAGTTTGGCTAACATTAAAAAATTTTCTCTCTTATCTATTTATATTCATATATAAGTTAGGTATATATATATATATATATATAGTAACATAAAAAAAATAGTAACATTCAAATACAAAAAAAAAGTTACTATGAATTTGAATAGTAAAATTCAAATTCATGTTATTAATTTTTTTATTATGTTACTATTCATATTACTACTTTTGTTGAATATGTTACTGTTTATGTATTATTATTTTTTAGCATATTACTGTTTTGTTGACCATGTTACTACTATTATTTTCCTAAACATTAATATTCAATGTTACTATTTTTTTTTTGAATATTACTATATTTTGTATTTGAATAGTACTATTTTTTACGTTTGAATTTGAGAGAAATAATTATTGTTAAGTATGCTACAGTTTTTGTTAAGTATATTACTATTTTTATTAAACATGATGGGTCAAGCCCAAATGGCTTAATCTATGTGGAAAGTCCAAATCTCAATTGAGGAGTCCAACTTCATAAAAGATCTACCAAGCCCAACATAGTCCAAGACTAGTCAAACTCTCTACTTAGTCACGCCATCAAGAGGAAGAGCAAGGGGGCCTTACCTGCACCGCAGAAGGAAATAGTCCACACTCACCTTATCTTTGACCGCATCTCATGGAGAGCTCCCCAACCTCCTCGGGCGTTGAGATGAAGTCATGAGTTCCACCAGAATAGTCGTTTAATTACTGTAAAGTAGCCCCAATCTATTAGGGGGCCACTATAAATTGCACACTCCACCAACACTTGAGGGCATCACACTTTACCTGAGCACAACTTTCTCCTCTCCCTCAAAGTTTGTACTCTCTGCTCCCTACACCCTTGAGTTAATAAAGTACTTGGCGACCAGAGCCATTCAAGAGTGGACGTAGGTCGAGTTGACCGAACCACTATAAATTGCTTGTGTCTCTCCATCTCCTTACTTTAATTACTGCATTTATTATTCACACTTGACAAGTGGTGTACAAAGACATTTTGTGCATCATCAGTTTGTCGCCGTCTATGGGAACGACTAAACTCTCACTTTTAAACACTCCCTCTATTGAACCTATGGCGATCACCACCCGATCCATGAACCAACATGAAGACAATCCACTACAAGAAGAAGAGGTTGCTCCTCCACCTACAAACCCTATCCCGAATGCTCCAGCTCCAAATCCCTAGCAAATGTTAGAGATCATGCAGCAGTTGGTGGCCCAAAACCAACAGATACTGTAAGTCATGCTCGTTGGACAAGGAGGAACACAACTTGGAGGTGCACAGCATGGAAGACTCCAAGGAGCTCCATATCCTGGACATCAAGGAGCTCCACACCCTGCTGTTCCATACCTAGGCACCCCTACAGGGCTAGGCGTCCCCTTTGGAGTCCCCTTGGGTGCCCCACACAGGGGAGCCCCTCATGAAGGGGTTCCATCCCCTTCTCCTCCTCCTGCTTCCCAGGGTGAGGACCCTCATCTCCAAGAGGATAAAGGCGAGAACCAAAGCATAGAGCATGTGAGTCATTTCCATGATCATTTCAGGAGACCCTCCAACCATTGGGACGAGAAGATCAAGGAAGTACAAAATTAATTGGGTGACATCTTCAATGCCATGAAGGCGCAGGGACCCGAGACAGTAGACTACCTGGTAAGGCGTACAGACACGCCCTTCAAGCCTGATGTGGCGAACTATCCCCTTCCTCAGAAGTTCAAAATGTCATCCGTGGAAACTTTTGACGGAACAAAAGATCCACTATACCACCTCGACACCTACAAAACTCTGATGCAACTGCACAACGTCCCAGACGAAATTATGTGCAAGGCATTCCCAACCACATTGAAAGGGTTCGCACGACAATGGTTCGCTAAGCTCTCCCTAGCCACCATTGCCTCCTTTGTTGAGCTGAGCAAGTCATTCGTATCGCATTTCATTGGAGGCGTCACCACCAGAAGCATGTCACCCATCTACTTAGCATAAAGCAAGATTGGGAGGAGAGCCTGAAGAGCTACCTCACTCATTTTGACGAAGAGGTACTCCAAGTTGATGAGCCCGACGACAAAGTGATGATGACCGTCTTCTTGGGAAACCTCCGCTCGTCAAGCTTCCTCTTCTTAGTGATGCAGTGCCCACTAAAGAGCATACCGGAGCTACTAGCAAAGGCCCAAAAATACATGAATGCTGAGGACATCACAAGGGCCTGGCGAGGTGAGTCCTCCAGAGTAGGAAAAAAGAGGAAGGAAAGGGAGAGCGAAGACAAGAAGGAGACCAGCAACAAACGCGGCAGAACAGAGAGGGTTCCTGTCAAAGACTGGCTAGGTCCCGCTCCTCAGACGGACCGACAAGCCTTCACTCCCCTCAATGCCACTGTCGGGCACATTCTATTCCAGATCCAGGATGATCCTGCGATAAAGTAATCAGGGAAGATTAAATCTCCTCCAAATCGTAGAAATCCTAATAAGTATTGTTGCTTCCACCGCGACCATGGGCATGACATCGATGATTGCTATGACCTTAAAAGACAAATTGAGGAACTCATCCACCGTGGCCACCTACGCCAGTATGTTGCTAGTAGAGAACGAGCACCACCACCTCACAACCAAGAAGATCAGCAGCTCGTTGGGAAATCCACACCATCTCGGGAGGACTAGCAGGAGGTAGAGAATCACTCTCTGTAATGAAGGCCCATGCTAGAAAGGCAAGGCTCCTCGACGAGATCCAAAGTGCCGAAGTAGGGCGACGAGGTCATATCTTTCTCAGATAAGGACCTAGAGGGAATCCAACACCACCATGACGACCTTTCGGTGTTCACCATGACTATGGCCAATTTTTAGGTGCGCAGGATCCTAGTGGATAGCGGCAGCTCTACGGATATCCTATTCGCAGAGGCTTATGACAAGCTTAACCTAGGTAGGGAGAGATTATAGCCTATCAAATCACCCTTTATTGGGTTCTTAGGGGATAAGGTATATCCCCCTAGGGTCCATCACCCTACCTGTCACAGCCAGAGCAACGCCCCGAAGTTCCACAGTCATGGTCAATTTCTTGGTCATAGACTGCCCATCAACCTACAATATCATATTGGGACGACCTGCTCTTAACACATTGAGATCTGTGCCCTCCACCTATAAGCTCATCCTCCGCTTTCCAACCACGAATAGAGTCAAAGAGGTCAGAGGAGATCAGGCAGTAGTAAGGGAGTGTTATGTCTCCTCCATGAAGATCAGGAAGCCGCAGGAGGCGTTGCAAGTTAAAGTCCTTGACCTAAGGGATGACGCCACCATAGAGAGAGGAGAACCAGTCAAGGAGCTCAACCCTATGGTCTTGGATGAAAAGCACCCAGACAGAAGAGTATACATCGACTCTTCTTTTTCTAAAGACTTGGTTGGCCTG